AATAAATAAATAAACAAATAAATATCCCACCGTGTTAGAGTATCATCATTATCACCGACCAATAATACAACTTGGTGCTGTAAATTTCAGCTGCAGTATATGTACTGATAGTGTCGATATTTAGAATTAACTACCTGAATATATCGAGTGACCTATGGATTAAATTTATATTTTCCTTAAATCATCAGTAGGTAACTTTAGTTTATACTATGATCGCTTCAATTTCGTCCTCAAGAAATTCTGTAATTTTAAATCTTCAGATAATTATAGTGGCAGTGTGTAGTAGTGTGAAGGCACAAGGCGGGGGTCGAGTACAGGTGAAAATTCACTCAACCGCTTGGCTGCTGATGACGTCAACAAAACAATTTGACAACATACACGTAAACTTCTCTTCAGCCTCAAATGTTCATTAAATAATTTCCTAGACATCTGGAAAAGGGATGTTAACTAGTTTACTTACAAACTTTTTCATTGACCTTTCTACCTTCACATCGTAAGAAGTTTATTTTAATATAGTCAGTATACCGAGGGGTCCACACCATATACTGTATGTGATTTATACATTATACTAGAGTCGTGCATGTTCTCATGCGAGTATTGTTTAATGCAATTCAAATTACATTTTTTCAGGATAGACTTGTGAATAAAGCATGTATACCATAAATGTATGCAGACGATAGTTTTGGGTGTGTAGTTTAATGATGAAGGTGTGGTGGTGCGTTAGCCTTGAATAACAAGACTCACCGTGATGTGTGAGATAAACGGCCAACAAGCTAACTCAGCAGATTTCACTGTGAGTGTCTGAAGACCTGTGGCAGACGCGGAAATAAACTTTGTACAGTACCTTGATAATATACTGTATATTTTTTTTTTACCATTTTTTTAGAAAACCGAATTTCTACACTTACAGTATTATTGTGATGTAAATGTTTCATGTGAATTAAATCACACTTTATTGGTACATCGACAGTAATTCTTGGAGTATGTTTATGCAGTAATTGTATCATCTTAAATCACCGAAAGTTTTGTACATTTTTAAGGATTAACTCTGCAATAAACATAATTGCCAACTAGACATAATCCTGACAGCTCTGTCCTCTTGTTCAACCTTATTACTGTACAACCCATGTTGTACTGTCCCCCGTCCCCCATTATACTTATGTTTTTCGATTCCACTGTAATATATATATATATATATATATATATATATATATATATATATATATATATATATATATATATATATATATATATATATATATATATATATATATGCAAGTAAATCACTGTGGGTGCGCGTGATCCAGGTATATGCTGATAACCACAAGGAAAGAAGAGAACACGAAGTTCCCAAGCGTTTTCGTGTAATTCACATCTTCAGGGGTGAGTCTGTACTCACCCCTGAAGATGTGAATTACACGAAAGCGCTTGGGAACTTCGTGTTTTCTTCTTTCCTTGTGGTTATCAGCATATATATATATATATATATATATATATATATATATATATTTCATTAGCCCAATAAACACGCGGACTTCTACATACAATCAACACAGCAACCCGCCAGGATTCGAACCCACGGCCCACGAGCCCATGACTGTGACCTGGGAACGCTAACCGCTGGACCAGCAGCGTTCCCCGGTCACAGTCATGGTTTCGTGGGCCGTGGGTTCGAATCCTGGCGGGTTGAGGTGTTGATTATATATATATATATATATATATATATATATATATATATATATATATATATATATATATATATATATATATATATATATATAAATATATATACATATATATATATATACAATCAACACCTCACCCCGCCAGGACTCGAACCCACTGCCCATGAGCCCACGACTGGACCACCAGTATGGTCCAGAGGTAGCGTTCCCCGGTCACAGTCCTGGGTTCGAGTCCTGGCGGGGTGAGGTGTTGATTGTATGTAGAAGTCCGCGTGCTTTATTGGGCTAATGAAATATATATATATATATATATATATATATATATATATATATATATATATATATATATATATATATATATATATATATATATATATATATACAAAATAATAATAAATACATAAAATAAATAAATATTAAAGTGATAACCTTGGTAACATTAAGATATGTTCTTATTACCACCATGCTATTGTACTATTCCAGATGATACTAAATGTTACATAATACTTCCTTGAGATAAATGTATAGTACTGTATATATCAGGTGCCTCAAAGAGAGCTCAGGTTCTCAACTGGCTCAGCCATGTTAATATTGTTATTATTATCCACTCTGTATCTGTATTTTTCTGGCTAAATAAACTGTTTCAATTCAATTCAATTCAATTCTGGTTTACATTGATTACTTTTGGGCTCATTAGACACACACACACACACACACACACACACACACACACACACACACACACACACACACTATCTTACTACTACTACTACTTTGCTGTCACTCGGAATTGAGTATGACGATCATCCAGCTATGATACAATGATATGAGTTATTAAGGATGTCACTTTCGTTGGTGGGTTCTGAGGTGACTAAAGAGGCCGACACGGGACCGGCAGATGTTGCACGTGTGGAGGGCCACATCTAGTGCAGGAGGGGCGGCGACAGCGTCTTTCCAGCGTTGGCACTTGTCTGCCTAGGTGTTCACAAGAGAGGATGCGATTAACCTTCCTGCGTTTGTGGACAGACGGTTTGACACAGCACTGACCCACATTGTGTTCACACAAGAGGGTATTAGAAATAAACTGTCAAAGCTAAAGGTCCATAAGAGTCTCGGCCCTGAGATGGTGCATCCAAGAGTGCTAAGAGAGTTGAGCAACGAGCTTGCCCAGCCCCTAAAGATCCTGTATTGTAAATGCCTGGATGAACAAAAGGTTCCCAGTGAATGGAAAACGGCTCATGTGAGTCCTATCTTCAAGAAGGGCGCTCGTCACTCCACGAATAACTATAGACAAGTGAGCCTGACCAGCCTAATACGTAAAGCACTTGAGACTATTATCAGAGATGCCGTGATGAAACATCTACTCCGAAACAACCTTGTAAAGGATTGCCAGCACGGTTTTATGCCGGCGCTAATGGGTTAACACAATTGCTCAAGGTATTGGATATTTGGACCCATATTCTGGAACGGGGCGGTAATATCGACAGTATTTACCTAGATTTTGCCAAGGCTTTCGACAGTGAACCCCACAAAAGGCTGAAAATCAAACTGGAAGAGTACAGAATTCGGGGAAATGTCCTAGCATGGATAGAAGACTTTCTACATGATTGCAAGCAGTGTGTGGTGATTAATGGCACGAAATCATCATCCGTACCTGTCACAAGCGGGGTACCACAGGGCAATGTATTGGGCCCGCTGCTGTTTGTTTGTTTCATAAATGACATGCCTGACGTTGTACATTCCTCCATACAAATGTTTGCCTATGACGCCAAGTTATTTCGGGAAATAAAGAACCAAGCGGACTGTGAAGAGCTGCAGATGGACCTCTGTGGGCTCCAAGAATAGTCGTAGAAATGGCAGCTGAGATTCAATGTCACGAAGCTTAAGAGGATGCACCTGGGGCGTACCAACGGTAAGGAGGCGTATCATATGTCCCAACGGGATGAAGAAACTGCACTATCTTAGACGGAATGTAAGAAGGACCTAGGTGTGTATGTTGACAATGAGCTGAAGTTCTCGGGCCATTGCGAGATGAAGGTAAATCAGGCAAATAAATTATTGGATCTTATAAGAAGGTCGTTCAGATATCTAGACGGTCCGTCCCTCGTAACGATTTCAAGAGTGAAGTGCTTTTCCGTCTGGAATACTGTCACCCCGTCTGGTCTCCGAGATATGCTAGGGACTGTCATTTGGTAGAAAATGTTCAATGGAGGGCCACCAGACTGGTGCCTGCCCTTCGGCACCTCAGCTACCCTGAGAGATTGGAGCGCCTGAACTTGCCTAGCTTATACTTCACAGACGGGCCAGGGGTGACCTTAATTGCGTATAAGCATCTCAAGGGTCACTACTCAGTCGAGGCCCTACTTGAGCTGGTGGACGTTCGGCCCTGGCTAAGGGGTCACAGCTCAAGATTGAAGAAGTCGCAAGTCTGTGAAAACTGGTGAGGCAACCTTTCGGAGTAAGAGCGTAGAACCTGGAATATTCCACGGAAAGGTTGTGACGGCACTGAGTGCGAGCTCTTTCAAGACAAGACTTGACCAACACTGGAGCGGTTCAGGTACATTCAGGAGCCGGTGCATGCCCAGTATTTGCCAACAGTGCGTGACAGAGACGTGACCGATCGCCCGGGCGGCTAGCGATCCGATCTTTTGGTGAAGAGGATAAATGAAAAAGAAAAGTAATCAGAGACGTGACCGATCGCCTAAGCGGCCAACGAGGCGATCAGTGGTGAAGAGGATAAAAGTAAAGAAACGCCACCGCACCCCAAGACAGCATACGGGTATGGAAGAACTCCTCAAAGCTAGCACCTCTGCTCTGGGTGGCATGTTTGCTCATTGTGGTCAGCCTGGCGGTGGTGCCTTTGATCAACCTGACACGTCTTCACTCTCCGCTGGTGCCACAATTGAGAGTCATACTGTCACCCCATCTGGTCCCTGAGATATGCTAGGGACTGTCAGTTGGTTGAAAATGTTCAAAGGCGGGCCACTAGACTGGTGCCTGCACTTCGGCACCTCAGCTACCCTGAGAGATTGGAGCTCAAGATTGAAGAAGCCGCAAGTCCAGAAAACCACGAGGGCAAACTTTTTCGGAGTGAGGGTTGTAAACTCTTGGAACAATCTACCAGATAGTATTGTGACAGCACCGAGTGTGAGCTCTTTCAAGACAAGACTTGACCAACACTGGAGTGGGTTCAGGTACATTCAGGAACCGGTGCATGCCCAGTATTTGCCAACAGTGCGTGACAGAGACGTGACCGATCGCCCGGGCGGCTAGCGAGCCGATCTTTTGGTGAAGAAGATAAATGAAAAGAGACGTGACCGATTGCCCAAGCGGCTAACAAGCCGATCAGTGGCGAAGAGGATAAAAGTAAAAGTGTGGCTGACCTAACCAAATACAGTATCCCAGGTTTTCTCCGGGTACTCTGGTTCCTCCTATACTAACACTAGGCAATGAGAGTCATTACAAGGAACAAGACAACTGGCCAAACATCTAGTTTGCTGACAAGTGGTAGAAATGATAAATCAATAACTGTCTATCTGCAGTACAATGCAGGTACTGTTACCATGTCTGGCAGCATCGTGCTGCAGCTGTAAGATGTCACCCATCTGGGTGTCTTTACATAAAGTTTGAAAAGTTTATTATTATTTTGATCGTGTATAATTATTTTTTAGCTTCAAGATCATTGTGATAATTGCATGGATGTCAGAAAATAATAGTAGAATTGAGTCTGGGGCAACTGGATAACTGCATGGCAGTTGAATGAGCTATATATTAGGAGATTTTATGGATACAATAATTCGTTTTTGATAATTATGCCAATAACTGGAAGTTACCAATTAATGGAGTCCCGGATAAGAGAGGGCCAACCCGTATGAATTTTTGAGACAAGTCACTATGGATATGATCACACCACAGCACTACAGCAGCACTATCTTACATCAGATATCAAACACACACCATCTTCTCAATGGAGATTCAAACCTGTGACCAATGGACTGTTGGCCTAACATAAAACCACTCCACCAGTTTCTTACTTTAGTCTTTGAGCTTCTTCTGCACTGATGCATAGATATGAAATAGTCTGGGTCCTCAGTTCAAGATCGGGGACCATTTGTGGGGCAACATGGTGAAATAATGGCTTGAGAGCAGCAAAGCCACCAGCAGCTACCAAGACCCGGTGGCCTTGAAGTACACTGCCGCACTCTGTCACTACGTCCCATCTAGAAATAAAAGCGTAACACTCAAGTCTTATATAATAGCTTCTGTGACAGTGTTCACACTTACTTTCTCCATATCCTGACAGGACATCTATAGTGATATGATGACCCTGTACTTATATGAATAATGAATTTATGAGAGTACTGCACAACAATACTGCTTTGTAATTTCAATTAAATCTCTATATTCATCTACAGTCATCTAGTCCTGGTTTAGAGGTAAATTTACCTTTAAAATGTCCTTTTTCAATATTTTCATTGACCAAGAAGTACATCATTGTGAAGTGAAAAATATTCATAAATACTTTTTCTTCCTAGGGTAATTCACTCATTAGCATCATCAGGCTACCTATCTATTATCTTCACTTCTCTCCTACCTTTGTGTAGGGTGAATCAAGGAGTATGGAAACCAACACAGCTTCAAACTCACCAAGGCCTCATGAATGATGAAAGAGAGGAAGAACTTCTTCACGCACAGGGTGAAAGATCTATGGAGACTACCAGTGAAAAAAGTACCGGGATTGAAAATAGTTCTTGACAAAATTATAAAGAAGAACACACACACACACACACACACACACACACACACATCAAGATAAGAGTCAAAGACAAAGACAAAGACGCGACGCGCACGACGACGCACGCGCATTTAATGCACGCATCAAAGACGCACGACGCACGCACGCACGCACGACGCATGCACGCATACACACACACACACACACACACACACACACACACACACACACATCCTGACCACCGGCGGGTGTCAAGACGTATCGGCGCCCTTCCGGAGTGTTAGGTCAACTGTTGTTGGCCCACAACCCCCTCCCCTGGAACGTAGCGTCTACCCACCGGAATATCAACAAGTTCTCGCCAGGAAGCCAATTTCATTTAGGAAAGGAACGGAACCAGTGTTAAACAGAGGTGAACAGTGGTGAACAGTGCTTAAGTCAGTGAGAACAACTCAACAGTAACAGTCGCACCCAAGTTAACCTTCACACAGTGAGGTCCCAGGTACCCAGTGATAACGGCCCGTGAGACCCAACAACAACCAGAGATGTGTTAATCCGTCTACGATAGGAAGGCCTAAGACCAAACCTCACTCATATAACACCATCTGTGAGGGAATTACTACACCACATGTCCCTCATAACACCATCTGTGAGGGAATTACTACACCACGTGAGGCCCCTCATAACACCATCTGTGAGGGAATTACTACACCACGTGATGTCCCTCATAACACCATCTGTGAGGGAGTTACTACACCACGTGAGGCCCCTCATAACACCATCTGTGAGGTAATTACTACACCACGTGAGGTCCCTCATAACACCATCTGTGAGGGAATTACTACACCACGTGGTCCCTCATAACACCATCGGCGAGGGAGTTACTACACCACGTCAGGTCCCTCATAACACCATCTGAGGGAACTACTACATCACGTGAGGTCCCTCCTAACACCATCTGGGAGGGAGTTACTACACTACGTGTTTGCTGTTCAACACGTACAATCCTACATTAATCTGTATGTTCCTTTACCTTTCTCTAATGAAGGCTTTTGTTAAACCACCAATGTAAGTAATAAGTCATTTATGTCCAATGTATATTTTCAGCCTTCGGGCTGCAGAACTTTTTTAATAAACCGTTAATTATTTATTATTATTATTTTTACACACACACACACACACACACACTGGACTCCTTCCCCCGTCATGGTCATCTCTAATTGGGGTAGCCATTAGGTAAAACAATAAAGTAAGTAAATTATATTGAGGGACTTTTATTCCCCTTTATCTAATACTACTCCCCACAAAAGTGACAGATAATACATGAGCATTTATAATTAATATCTTACTTGTGTGTATCACATTTTGATGGCAGAACAGTGGACACGATTTTGTGTAAAATCTGGGCATCACACATCTGAGCGGCAGTCTGATGGGCAGTCACCAGCTTTCGTGGAATAATGTGGCCACCACTTGTGGTACGTGATGATAATTATCATAATCAAAGTTTACTTAATCAAAGTATAAATATGTGCCCACCAAAATAACAGACTAATGTCTATAATACAGTATTTAAGTTACATTACTGAATATATAAACAGGTGGTATCAATATGACAGCTAATTCTAACAATATTTAATACTGTATAAACAAGTAACATCAACATGATAAACTAACACTAACAATATTCAAGTTTCATTTCAAGAGAAGAAAATATCAACACAGGTACTAACTTCACACTTTGCCAGACAACACTTGCATTATCAGGCAAGTGTAAAAATGGAAAGATATTCTTCCACGAGTTTGTAATATCTTGAGCCTCAAATCCACATTTCTGATTTACTTCCATTAAGTTTTCAAGAGTGCTCTTGTCCAAGGTTACATAAGCATAGCCTGATTCTGTGTAGAATTTCACCCCTGGAGAGAAGAGTTTTTTTTTTTTTACTGCTCATAAATCCTAGGGAGCATTCATATCCAACTGGTTATGTATTGGGATACTTGCTCACAACATCAGTGTTTCATTATCCAAACACTCATAACTGTGTGTAAAATATTAAATGAGGTTACTGTACTCAAAACTGAGGTCACGAATCCCATCATTGACGAGGGATTACTGTATACATTATCTCTGGGTTAGTTTGCAATTTTTCACTTCACAATGCAACAACTAACATACAACAGCCACACATACATGGTGGAGATAGATCATGACTATCTCAGCTTATGATATGGGATGCCAAACCCACCTGGCTGATGCTAAGTTGTTGACTCATAAGGTTTGGTTTAGTTTAAATTTGATCGGTTACATTAAAGTGATAGAACATATGATTAACCCTCAAAATAATCCTTATAATGGTCCATTAAGAATTATTTATGTGATTCAAGAACCAAGGAAAGGTGATATTTTACACACTGTATTAAGTTACATTAAGTATACAATAAGCCAAAAGCTCTACATTAGATCACCCAACAATATACAGTACAGTATATACAAAATATACAAACTTGTCTCTCAAACATTGGTCTGCACATCAACATACAGTACAATACAAACTTCAGGGCCTGATTTCTAAATTGGACAATGGGACTGTGAGGCTAGGACAGTAGTTCAAAGTGGACCAGCAAAGGTTTGTTATGTCTATGTTAAATAACTGTAGTATAATGTAACTAGGTCAGTGATTTAATATTATTTTGTTCATGAGTCATTTTCTTGATAAATGTAAAGTTAGCTGACCTTTTTACAGCCTTTTTATAAGCCCTTTAATTCAATGTGATTATATACTTGTAGATCTAGTCTGTAAAGCTTGTAAGCTTACAGAACTAAAATCCAACTCTCAACCTGTCCAGTTTATAGTGAGGTAAAGCTTAAGTGTGGGATACAAGGGCTTGAAAAACTGGCCCGGGGACAGCCGAGATGGTAAAATCCGGCCATGCAAACCTGTCACACGTATAACATTACACAATAATACAAAGTGTGATGCAAACCTGTCAATTTCTCTAAGTCCCTGAATCTTGCGAGAGACTTAGCTCCAAGATTGCACCAGATTTTGTTTCTATTAATCTGATAACAGAGCCTGCCCTCATCAAACCAGCAGCCAAAAATGTCTTGCCCTTTACGAACCTGAATCAAGAGAGCAGCTGCAAGGCATTTAATATATAAACACATAGAAATACTGTAATTACAAAAAAATATTCCCCGGTATACAAAAGATATCTTCAGTAGCCAGAACAATTAGTGCAGAGCACTTCTAGGAATGAGAGATTTCTGGGTAACGAGATGACTCTCTCAAACCCAGAAAAAAATCCCACATCCCAGGAATTTTCCAGAATTTTCCATGTACAGGTAGTTAACAGGGAAATTTTTCTCAGAATTTTCCAGAAAATTCCAAGGAAATTTCAATTCTGGTTATTGGAAAGTTCTGGTTAAGAGGGATTCCTGCTAACAGAGATATTACTACAGGGTATAAGTATATATATTAATGTAGACCCTAATGCGAGTGTAAACTGATTTTACTATATCTAAGAATACTATTTATGTACGTATTAAGGCAATTAATACAGAATATTATAATTAATGTATTACAGCAGAGGTGAAGTGACTTGTGCCAATCTGATTACTGTATAAATTCTGAAGTTTCAATACAGTACATGGAAAATAGGAATAAAGCCAAAATCAACCACAAATCCAATCATATTGTAGTAAAATACTGGACCTAAACATAAAATCCATTTCATAATTTGTCTACCATCCTAGTCTACACACACGCACAGACACACACATGTAGACACAAGGCCCAAAGTGGGCTTCAAGAGGCTGGGGATCAAGGAGTCATGATTTATACTGTAAGTCATAGAATAAACAGGACACACTATACTGACCTGATAGCTAAGAAATTAAGTGTTCAGATTAATATCTTTCTTCTGTCAGATAAATGAAGATTATTTTCAAAACACAAGGAGAACCTTTTAGACATGAGTTGAAGTAATCAAACTGATCAGTGGCCCATCCAACACTAGACACATTCACTACAGAAAAATCTCATTAACTATAAAAAACTTGGAACCCATAAGGATATTCATAATTCTTAGTTTTATCAAGCGTGGTGTCTAGTGGTTACATAGGATGGACCTGCTACTAACTGGTGATATCAGGTGTTAAGATGTGATGGGAGGTAAACCAAATGTTATTCTTGAAGTATTATTTGTGGAAGGGGCACACAAAATATTACATCTGATGCAGAACAAATGAATAAATGACAGAAAGTGAGACAGTGAGAAACTCTTACTTATCCTCTTTGTCACTTAGCAGTTTAGTAGCTGGTACAGTACCAAGGTAGGAAAGGCCTTGTGTTTACATTGAGTTGTTATGAATACTGTATTTTAGCATCACATCTTCATTACACTACAAAATTCCAATGAGTTACATACAATGTGTAACAGAGACGTGACCGACCGCCCAAGTAAAAGTAAAGTAAAAAATATTTTGAAATTTGACAAAATTACCTCTCATAAAATATTTAGAACACAAAAGTAACACCCCTATCAAACTTATCTTTACATCAAAAAGAAACTACATTGCCTTATAAATACCTTTACCTTAGGCTCTGGGGGTCCTACTAAGCAGACAGTTGTATTGGGGATCTGAGAAGCATGGTGGGCAGCAGCTGACCCAATCATGCCAGCACCAACCACAATTAAGTCATAGATCTTTTCCTCGGGAGCAGACATTATTTCAATATTTCCTGCAAATATTAGAATGTCAACAGCTAAAAATTCTATACGCACAATATCTATACAAAATTATAAACCAAAGCACATCAAAATGGTTCAATCAAAGTTTCTTAATGCAGTACAGTATAATCTAATGTAACCTAACCTAATCTAACCCAACATTAACCTGCCATTATTCTGCCTAATCTCTGTGTTAATTTCATTCAGATATGTACACTTCTTTGGGCAATATAATACAGTATGGTACTGTGACCACGTCCCAGGCTGTTGATCTGACTTTCTGTCTCATTTACACACAATTGCAGGGTCTCAATTGTTTCTCTTACTTTGACTACACAACATACATATATTGTTTCTCACTTTTGATCTTTTTTATTTGTTTTTATTTCTTTACGGTTCTATTATTATTATTATTATTATTATTATTATTATTATTATTATTATTATTATTATTATTATTAGTATTATTATTATTACATTTTCGCCCCCAGGCCCTGATGTGGGTTAGTGACCTGAGCCGGGTGGGCTAAGCCCTGTAAAAAAAGAAAAAAAAAATTATCTATGTTTTCCTTAGTGATATACTGTACCACTTAAATACAGTGCTATACTCTAAGTGATAACTATGTACTTAATTCTTACTCCTTTGTATTTATATCTGTCAAAATGACTATCCATACATTAATAAGTTTTCTCTCTCTGGCAAGTGTTACAGTACTTCAGAGGAATATAATGAATTATTTTGACCATTGTCTCTCAAGTGTGAAAGATGACACAGGTTAAATAATGTCATGTATATCTACAGTATCTACTCCACTCTCACTTTCCTGTGGGTTACACCAAGGAATATAATAACCTCCATGACAGGTGTAGAGAGAGACAAGTGACAGCAGTAGCAGGAATAATCCAAAAGTATTACTGTACAGTTCACAATCTTCTATGTGGACAAACTATGTCCATCATCCTATAATTTTACATCTGTGTCTACAAATGCTCAGCATCCTTCCTCTTAATAAATATAGAACATAAATAAAACTTGTAAACAACTTTCCAGCCAACTAGACATGTGAAGGTTCGATGGCAAATCCCAAATTTCTCCGAGTAAATTCAACCCCCAAATTTTTAGGACGATTAAATTTTGCTTGAATAATTAAAACAAAAATGGAAGCTACAGTTTGTGTAAGCAGGTGTCTGGGTTAAGGAAGGGAAATTCTTCAATGGAAGAAAAGTTCCTCAGTTTATCAAAAATAACCCAAAAATGGTGAAGAAAATAAAATTTTGCCAAACAAAAATATCATAAAAAATCTAACCTATTTATGCTCAAATATGAGTACAGTACAGTACAGTACTACAGTATATACAGCATTACAATACAGTACTGTACAAGTTTAACCTCTCCTAACCAGAAGGACCTTGTGGTGGATACTTTCCCCTAAAGCTGCCGACTGATCACCTGCCGTTCGCTTACCAGCCAATCAGCTTTCAGCGAGCAACGTCGACAGACTAGTTCTCAGGTGCAGACGGAGGAGTACTATCGGTGACCGAGTCTTGACCTTCCACTTCCCAGCCAGGATCAGCGTACCAGCTCTGTCTCGCGTACTGCACGGTGATTGGCCCCGCACAGTTCACACCTCGTGTCTCTGATCCTGAGCAGCCGTATAAATAGAGTAGGCCTGGCTGCGGAACTCATTTTACTCTATTCTCCTGAACCAGCAAGACCTCCAAACAAGCTCCTCACCAACCAGCTCCCTCAGCAAGCTCCTCACCACACCGCAACTCCTTAGCACCGCACTGTACATACAATATATATACAGAAAACGCATTGTGAGTTTCTATTCTTATCTCCATCCTGAGTGTGAGATATCTTACATGTACGTACGTATGTGAGCCCATACAAAGAGATAATAGACAAGCAAAGATAACTTGACAACAGTACGCTACAACCTGACCTAAAGACCAAATCTTAAAATTAAAAGTCAGAAACTAAAAAACAAAAAGTATATACTGTATAAATTTCCAACGAAAATGTTAAAGAGTGAAGTTTTTTTATCACCCCATATACAAATCAATATAGAGTTTCATGGTTCACCTTTTTAGAATCTTTACCTTTTCAATTGTTGATAAACTGGTGTAATTACAAACCATGTTATGCACTTAAAGACCTTAGTTGTTGAAGCATGTTATAACATTAATGTCAATGACCTGGTTGACCTAGAAGCTGTAAAGTATATTCAAGACACATGAAGCTATCCATGCTTTTCTCTGATGTCAAACAGGTAACTTGTTACCTACAGTATTTGGGTAAAAGTGGAGAAGACGGCTAGCAACAGAAGTAGTTATTCGATTTTGATCATTTATTCCACAGATGTTCTTTGGATGATAGTAAGTAATAAAAATAATAAGACACCTTTTAATTTAATAATTATTTTTTCTTTATCTATGATTATGAATCACCTGTAATGAGCAGGGATTGAAGGATGAGGCAAACTGTGGTGTAAAACAAGGAAAACAACTGATGATATGACACTATAATGATGTCTCTGCCTGCTTTGTATGTGAATAAAATCATTATTTACCATAATTATTCCCAAAAACTTCTGCCGTGTTGGTGCGGGTTGTCTGCTCTTAGTTTCAGTCATCATTCATACTTTCACATCCATAAAAAAAGTTAAAATATTTTAATTATCAGAGTTTGATTTAATTTGATTTTTCAATGACATTTCCCTTACAATTGACCTAAAATTACTTAACTTAACCTCCTAACCAGGGGGCCGCTCTGCCCCCCTGGATCCCTCGGTATATTTAAGTCACTTGTGAGGGAAATGTCATAGAAGAAAAGTGTCTTAAAATTGTCTTAAAATTGTCTAAACTCGAGAGCCATATTGGTTGAAACTGTAGTAATACCAAAATATTACACAATGCCACTTCAAGAAATTTGCTTTCATTGGTAACAGATATCAAAGTATGTTCTTTCTGCTTAATATGCCAGGGGTCATTGGTAACAGATATCAAAGTATGTTCTTTCTGCTTAATATGCCAGGGGTCTTGGGGCGGAACCCCCTGGCTAGGAAGTTAGGAAGGCTTCTTTGGTTAGGTTAGTTAGGTCAAGTTCTATTAGGTTCTGTGCATTGTTGCATCGCTTTTATTAATTACTATTACCCCAGAAAATATATGTGGAAAAAATTAACAAAATCGAACAGCTCCTCTTAGTGTTGGCTGTCTGCTACACCTTTACCCCTAATTGATATCGAAATGCCAAAATAAGGACTAATCAACTAACTTCCCATTGGTCTATGTTGATATGTCCTACTGTTGGTAGAAGCGACATTAATGGTCTATTAACTAATCTATTTATAAAATATCACAGCTATTCTTTTATTTTACCCAAAACTTTAAAAAAGCTTATTTAATAGCTCCTAAATGACAACATTAAGCGACATCTTTAAATAATCTCAAAATAACAATAATAAACATCTTTAAATAACATCAAAATAACAACATCAAACGACATCTTTAAATAACCCCAAACTAACAAAAATAAGCGACATCTTAAAAAAAGTCATTTACCTGTGTTTTCACTTATAGATGTCTGAAGAACTCACGTCACAGTTTTCTTAAGGCGATGTTAATATATTTAACAAGTTCCAAGACGTAATTACTATCAGTAAACATTAAAATAAAGAGTAAACATTGGTCCATTGGCTGTAAAGAGTCAATATAAATGATATGGTTTATGTTACCTTACACGAGATGTATCACATGATGTAGTTTGTTTTTATTAGTTTAGATTAACTACAGCAGTATGCAGGGAGTACATAATAAGGAAGTTAGACTCAAAGTGTATAGTGGGCCACAGTGGATGACATTTATTTTCAGCTTTAGTTTGTGATGTAGGTGTGCCGTCTGCATTGTTTTGTTCTTCTGACCGCGACATAACAATGTATATAATTAAGCTTCGCGTGGGTAAAAGTCTTGCCCTGTCTTGAAACTATCAAAACGCGACAGAGTAATTCTAAATTGTAGGCGTTGTGTCAAGGTCAACGCAGTGAAGAGGGTAGAGTTGGCTCGACTTTACCTTCACCTTCCCCCACACAGCTCTACCGCTAACCTACCTTTCGTTCTTCATATATTCCTTTATTGTGCTGGTATAGCCGCAGAGACCAGAAGTTGTGCAAGTCTTGGATTTTTTTTTTGGGTGGTGTTGGACTCGGGCTGCTTTCGTGGCGGTGTCAGTCTTACAAAAGAAACCCAACCCTTCTCTCCATGCTCTGTTGCCGCTGCCGGGCACTACAGTAGTGTTGCTTTTGGCGGTCCTAGGGTTATCCTATCGCCATCAGACAAGCTGTGTTAAGCCACGGCACCCTTCTCTACTCCTACGACTACCTTCCACAGAAACTTCTTTTCCCCTGTCATTTGCATTTTAGTAAGTTGTTTAATTAATTGTTTTGTATCATTCTGAGGAATTCACAACGCAGGAACGTAGGAAAATAAAATTCCTACTGCAAATAGGAAGTTTAGTGGCTCTAGCTATAATAAATATAGTGACCCATAAAACAATATCCGTTTTCTATTATTGTTCTTGGACTCGTTTTTTAAGGTTGATGTGTCGGTTGGGCTTCCCTATTATATATTCCTTTCCCACTCTTATTGTGTAATAAATGTACAGTACTGTTTAAGTTAATTACTGTTACATATAATTTATTTTAAAAACACCAAAATTTATTTAAATTACCACACAAGTCAGAGGCAAAAGAAACATTAAGAATAAAGCAAAATTAATTTAATAATGAAAGAAGGAAGCTAGATCACATTCACGGAGAGGGAGAGTTCTTGGCCTTCTGCTTAGGCCAGGGTTCTCAACCGGGGAATTTCCCCCTCAGGTTTTCAAGGGTGGGGAAAACTGATGCTAATATGGAAAAAAAATAAAAAGGATTTTCGGTATTTATATGCATACACTATTTGGAATGCCTTTTGAGGCAGACAATCTTGGAAGGGGAATGACGTTCTGACATAACCGGTATGGTGAAAAGTGCATGGGTGAAACAAGGTTGAGAACCACTGGCTTAGAGCGGTCTGATTGATCCAATGCTCCTCTGAAAATATCACGAGTCATAATTAGATAGGTTTTTGTCTAATGATGTTCAGGAACTACTGCATCATGCCATACATTGGTAGGACTGGCAGTGATAATGAAACAACAAGTTTAATACCAGCTAAACAGCTCATGATAGTACTGGTTGTATCACCTAGTACAGTGATAATTCAGCTGACCAAGTCTTATAATTAGTGGTTTCATGGTAAACATCTGTGAAGGTTTTATGGTCAAGAGATAAGGAATTAATTTATACAAAGTACTATAGATATAATATTTTAATAACAGGCAGTGTTGCTTCTTGCTATCTTTTTCTGGGGGTTGGCCTTAACATTTTCATTGAGATAATAATGAAGTACATCCATTGTGCTTGGTTAAAACAACTTTATTTATAGAATACTGTATTGTTAATAAGAACATCAAAATATAAAGCAAAGACAATTTCAAAACAGCAAAGCAATTAAGTATGATACATACATGACAAAAATATAAGTTTTTGAAGAAAAAAATTCACTCCATAAACATTACGATGATTATAGTTCTTGTGCATATTTATAGAATTTATTTACAGGCCTCCACAACTTGCACACATGTAAAACAAAAGCAATACAATATGTTGATATTTGATCCTTCACTAGCAACTACAACAGGAATGTATAAAACTTAAGGCCTTTACTGAATGATATATCAGTCACACAATGCCCATGATAATCATTATGGTCTGAAAGACAGGTGCAATAATACCTAACAGTGTTATTATTTTAAAGTTACAAACAAATAGTCATTAAATGTGTACATTTATGCATAACCTTCAAAACACATTTCAATAAATTTATGACATCAAAAAACAGATAAGCCACTTTGCCAGTAATAAAAAACAGGGAAATTGTAGAACCTATTGTACACAAAGTCTAACAACAGATATGCCAGTGGCTTGCTACTGTTTGTCCACAGCTGACTGTGCTCTTCCCCTAAAACTGCAAACCAAGTTAACAAAACTTGCCACCAAGGAACAAACCACATAATTTGGCAGGAATCAAGGGTAATTGATATTAACAATGCATACTAATAGTTTTAAATTCATTAATTATTATCAAACCTCACAACCACTCTTTCAGTAAAGATGCCACAGGTCATATTTGTTTGCTGGACAAATGCTTTCACGTAGCACGGCTTCTATTCCCAATCCTTCATCAGTAAAATCCCCAGTGTAGTATATTAATGCATCTCCCTAAAATAATTGAAGTATCATAAATATCAAGACACCTTTTGTTTACCCTATCATTCACCTCAGTCTTAAATTAAAATACGTTGTAGCAAGAGAATATCATGAGTTATGGCACACGCTGCGTCACCTCATTCCCAATCCTCACACTTGGAATGAAAGTTATCCTGTTCGCAAACTAAACTTACGATGAAAGCTTGTTTATTTGTGCTGTAAACAATGTAAATATTGAGCCGTTCTTTACCACAAACCAAACTTTTGGAATCAACACACTGTTGAGGTGGTATACATGAAGGTATTGGACCATAGTTTTGGTTTTTAGCAAAGGAGTTGTTGAAATAAGCATAGAGTATAAATTGTAATTTGTGGTAATCCAAGTAAACTGCATTGCCATTTCATCTTGTCGGCATATCTAGATTAATGTAGTGACAAAAAACAGCAAAATGTTCAAAGTTTGACCTTGTAAACGGTTTGTTACCAGGAATATGCAGATCCAAACAAACTAGCAAAAGTACATTTATGGTGGTGCATATTTACATATGTTTATGTGTGTGCAATCAGCTCATTTAAACTTTGTGTTTGTGGATATAAAAAACACACACAAAAATAATCCTTAAATTTTTGCAGCACAAGTTTCAGTTAAGCAATGTATAAAATTCTAATATAATTTTTTTTTGTGCGTGTTAACTAGCATGCTAAAATAAATTGTTGTGCTGTTGTCCAGGAAGCAGCCAAAGAATATTTGAAACATAATATACTGTACTTATGCTGAGAATCAATTAAAAATGAAAAAAAAATGGAACTAGCTTTATATGACAGGATTTTAGGTATGAAACCATGTTTGTACTCAGCACTCCATATTTCTTCATTCATAATTAAAAAACTGGATTTCATAACAAAACTTTTTTCTAATAACCTCCCTCACCTACCTCCCTATAAAGGCTTATCTTTAGCTGTGGGTCCCTCCTGGTTGAGCCACCACACACACTATGGGAGACACTCTGTAACCACTGATGAGTGCAGCAAATTTCACTGAGAAAAAATATTCATCCAAATGATGCATCCAAAAAAGCAATCACAGCAGTGAAATTATCAACGGAAGGATGTGACCACATCCTTCCCTCTGTGGTGACTCGTGTGGTGGTGGGATCCAGATGTACAAGATGCAAGATGAACAACAATCACAATGAAGTGAGATTACTGACAGAAGGATGTTCCCATACTCTTCCGCTTGTGGTGGTACGTTAAGCGCTGGTTGAGTCGGTGGTCACGACGGTGGTAGTATTCGTTGAAGTCAAGTCGTGTACTCAGTAAGTGTAGATTCTGATCATCATGCTGCGTTAACATTAGTAGGAAAGATTGAACCATGTCCTGTAGGTGAGAGAAAATAACAATAACATTCAGTGGGCTTGCTACTCCTTTTTCCTGGTGAAAACATGAATATTAGATCCACTTCCTGCTACCAATAGTCCTTTATACTTCTATACTATTTTATAAATTCTAAATAAGTTTGTGAAAGTAATACATTAAATATTACAATAGGAAGTGGGTGAAGCTCTTGATGGGGAGTTCAATCACTTTCCTTTGTTCTTCAATCTTCTCGTCTCTATCAGCTTGAATATAAGATGGCTGGACAACTGCTGATCTCAATTCTTAGTATTTAACAGCTAAGGGTTAACCCTTGCCTTGGTAGATATTTGTCTTGTGTGGTTATATTCAAAATTTCAATATGAAGTTTAAAAACAAGATGGTGAAAACAAATGATAAATTATTACCATATTTCCCACCCAATAAGGCGCATGCATTGCCTTTATAGATGCACCCCTATCTTAGCAGGGAATATCTAAGAAAAAATAATAATTTTTTTCTCAAGCAGACAGCATCTTCAATGTCAGTACTACAATAGCTTAGCCTAACCTTCCATCTTAAATTACCTTAGATTCCCCCAATAGATTTTTCCAAAAACAATTATCATTGAATTGGAAGTTTTTATACAATTTGGACGAGGTTTCATGAAGTTGTAAAAATACAGAGAACAGATGTAAGTTTTGTTATGTTTATCAACAGCACATAGCCAGATATAAACTTGTATGTCAATTTCACAGAATAAATTTTATTACATGTATTAGTATTTTTAGTAAAGTATTATAAAAAAATAAGTGTAATCTTTTTGGGGATATTACCATTATTATTCTTAACATATGAAAGAATAATTTATCATTGTCTATTGTATAAAAAATGTGTAAAGTCGCTGCTGCTGTTGTTTTTTATTAGAGTTTGAAATTGAACAGTGTTATTATTAATGTATTATGCAGCCACTATTATTTCTTTAATTCATCTAAAAAAATAAATAAATAGGAAAAGTACTATTCCTCTATCCAATCTGTTTTATTCTTGAGGTAAAAAATACCTGTTCTATATATATTTCTTGTTAGGTGCCTGGTTACTGTCCTTAAATATTACAATCTTGATTTTAGTCCAATATTGGCGTCCTCATCTCCCTCGGGTTAACCTTCGGCATGTAAGACGCAGGGCGAGTTGTGTAGACATTTTTTAACTAGTGAACCTTAGAAGGCCAAAAACACAGTTATCTTTTATAACCTGTAATACAATCATGTCAATTCTTTTAATTTTCTGGGGTTATTAAAAAAAGAATTACTATACAAGGATGACGTACCTGATATGTTTGGGTGTTGATTCTTAGATCAGATTTTAATTTTGGAACAACCTTAGATATAAAGTCTTTTCTTCTCTTCTTTTCAGTTTCTTGTTGTTCTGCTGAGGTCCCAAAGTCACCAGCCTCTGTTCTTGCCTGAAAATATATCCAGTAAGTATCTTCAGCTTTTTATATCATATTACAGTTTGGTCACTGTTCTCATCTATACTGTACTGTGAAATAAAAGTCTTATCTCTACACTTCCCCCTATGAATAGATCATGTAAATACAGTACATGGAACAACAGTTGAGGTCCAATGTATCCATGAGTCAAGGCAAGTATCTTCTGGTTGTTGAGTTTATCGTATCATAAGTTTGAAGAGAAAAATCAGATAAGTTCATACAGCAAATTCAAGGTTTATTTTGACTGTGGCTCTGTAGTTCATTATGATCAATTGTGAGCATATCATATACAGTGTTTTATTCATTTTTGTATCCTTTAACAGTTTAATGAAAGAAAAATAACATTGAAGTTCATCACCTGCATACAGTACTCCAAGTAACAAAGACCAAAAGATATCAGAAAATTTATGGTAATTGAGTAGTTTTTAAAATACAGCTCTTCACTCCTATTATAAAAAACTAAATCTTTTTACAGTAAGATCTCTTGTTAAGTGTCAATTATAAAAGGTCTGTTCTTAAGTACAGATCAAAACATTTTCAATACTACGGGGGAATTACCTGGTAATATCAACCACAAGAATTATGTAGTCTACAATTTTATACATTATGTTTATTAGTCATAGTTGTCAGGTGGTGTGGGCAGCTACCAGTATGCCTCACACATAACCTCAACAGTTGACCTTTCCTTTAGTGATGCTAAAAGTGTTTTAGTGTGTTGCCTCAACACCCAGTATGTAGTAAATAGTGTAATGAATAACTCAAAAAATAACTGAAACACAAACAAAAATTAAAGAGCTTATAAATAATTAACTTACCAATGCTCCCTTACCAGACCCAACATGCACCTCCACCTTACACTCACCTTAATTACAGCGATAGCATCTCGTCGTGCATTAACTTCTGTTGATACAGCAGATGACAATCTCTCCTGCAGACCTCTGAGATTCTGGATCAAGTTGTAGAATGTTCTTAGATGAGTTCTAACTTGCTGTGGATGTCATAAAAATATTAATATTTAAAGTACTCTAAAAATTACATGACTACATGATGTCAACATATATTTGGAATACATTACTTTAAGCAGAAGATGGTTTAGAACAAAATATACTGTACAGCATTAGTCACTAAAAAAAAATAAAAATAAAATAAAACTGTAAAATTAAATTACTCTACCTATCATACACTGTAGCTTGGTACAAAGAAAACCCTTTTAATCTATTTAATTTTCATCATTGATACGATATTTCAGTAATGCAAAATACTTGTACCTTAGAATCAGCATCAAGGAGAGCCCCAGCAACAATTCTGTTTAAGAAATGATTGTGTGCAATTATGACATCATCCAGGCTCTGTGCCGTTTTGAGCTTGGTCATAAGGCCATGCCATGAGCACTCTAGCACCTCAAACGTCATGTAATATTCCATCTGGTGGACCAGGTGAACCATCTCAGTTGTCAGTAACTGAACACCATGGAGAACAACACCCAGTTCTGTAAAAATATAAATAAATAAACAGATAAAAAAGGGTAATCTGGACAGAATCTTGTTTATACATAATGACACAATAACCTCAGACCTTCAGTGTTAGTGCCATGTGAGGTAAGCCTTAGATCTGCACAAAAGAGGTACTTTGGACCAGAAAATACTTACATGTTGAGGCACAATAACTAAGAGCTTTCTGTACCATTCAGTTTATATTTTATTGTTAATACCTTACATAACACATAACAACTGATCATATTAGACAGAGAAATCTGATCTACCCTTTGTCCATAGGACTGAAGAAATATTAACATACACACAATCACATATGTATATAATGGGAGACACAAAAATAGATATACAGTACGATAAGAAGAGTAAATTCACCTGAGTTATGGAAGTTACTTACCAGGCAAATCCCGACAGAGTTTAGATGTGGCAGCCTGTTCCTTCCAGATGTCTGAGAGTATCATCTCCATTCTCTTGTCCTTCCACAGTGCATTGAACAACATCAGATACTGCCGCATGCAATCAGCTGTGAACACCTGTAAACAGGCTACTCCTCAAGATATGCCATACATTCTATGTCTTCATATCACCTGAAGATTACCCCAAGCTTATTTCACCTTAATATTGGTCACCCTAATGCAACCTAACCCCCCCCCCCCGGTAGCATTAAATGCAGTTAATAGGACTCCCTGCATTTCCAGGCCAGAATGTCTGATAACTGATTTCAATTACTTGACAGGTGTGCACAACCCTGCACATGGGCACATGGATAGTATCATGACTACATCTCACAAGAGGCTCCAGGGTCTTGAGTAAGCAATGACTCTATATACAGGTGCACAGTATAATACAGTACTTGGTTCTATGCACTTACTGTTCCTATGGGTCCATCAACATGATAGTCAAGGCTAAAAACATCCCATCCAAGGTCACCGGGTGAGATTTCCAAAAGTCTCACATCAAGACGCTTAAGAATATCAGGTTCTTCATACTGTGCGTTGCTGGCAGCTACTGCAGTCTCCAAGAGGGATGACAGGTTGTGTGGGTACAAATTAGTGGCTGGCTTACCAAGCTCTGGACTGAAAGAAAATACAAATTTGTGTTCTCATCTAGTTTTGTCAGAAAATAACTTGGATTAATGTCTCTATGACAAGAAATAATGTAATAATTTTCAATGTCTTTAAAATAATCCTTCCACCTTTTGGCCATACTTCAACTGGGGTACGTGAAGTATAATGTACAGGTTGTACCTCTCTAGTCCGGCAACCTCGGGACCTGACCGGTGCCGGACCATGGAAATTGCCGGACCATGGAAATTCACCCTTTTCCTGGATAGATAGTGACTTGTGCTTATGCTTGGAAGCACTAGCACCACTTTCTCTGCATCATGGTCTCTATGAAGACATATTGAAGGGTTAAATGTCGTATAGTAGCTTCTCAAATTTCGCGAGTTTTTAATTCTTAACGTATTTTATTGGAACGCACAAAAAAATAAATAAATAAAAATGAATTTTGACGGGTTTGAACGGCCCGCCAACGTGCAGACGACGGGCATAATCGTGTAAACAGCGTCATTTCTCTTATGTACAAAAGATTCATTATTGTTTATTACTGAATGTCTTTTTTATTGAATTAATGTTTATGTGTGCAAAATGAGCAATACAATTCATTAATAATACGTAGAATATTAAAACACACGAGGAAATGACACAGCATTGTTTTCGTTGATTACAAAACCAGTGACTGACTGGTTCTACATATAAAACTGAAGAAAATAAGACCTTGGCTGTAGCTGTAGTAAAATTAATATGGTTGTTTTAAGTAATGTTATTTAATGTTAATAAATGGAAATAAATGGAACAATAGAAGTAGCTAACGATAATGGTAAAGAAAAAAGAGATCGCGTATGTAAGTGGGCATGCGAACACGTGAAAACATATCGTCATTACTTTACATAAGAATATGAAAGCAACACTTATTTACTGTTCATATATATTTTAATTTATGTTTCTGAATTTCTTTTTATTGAATTAATGTTTGTGTGTGCAAAATTAACAATACAATTTATTAATAATACGTGGAATATTAGAGGAGACGAGACGGCTGCCGGCATTGTTTATGTTAAAGCTTACAAAACCAGTGACTGATTGGTTCTACATATAAAACTGAAGAAAATAAGACCCTGATTTTAGCTGCAGTAAAATTAATGTAAAAAAATTAATATGGTTGTTTGAAGTACCTGTAATGTTATTTAATGTTAATAAATGGAACAATATAAGTAGCTAACCATTAATGGTAAAAAAAAAAGTGAGACTGCGCGTATGTAAGTGCGCACATGTGAAAACATATCGTCATTACTCTACATAAGAATATGAAAGCAACACTTATTTACTGCTCATATATATTGAAGGGTTAAATGTTGTACTCTGTATAGACAAGCAGAGAGAGAGAGAGAGAGAGAGCAGCCGAACTGCCGGATGTAAACAAACCTTAATTTCCCTGCGCTTTTTATTTTTATTAAGGGGATTAGCCCACCCGGGCATAGGTCACTGACCCACATTGGGGCCTGAGGGGCAAAAATTTAATACTCCTGTAATAATAATAATAATTCAGATAAGTAAAAAAAAAGAAAAAAAAAAAAGCTGCCTATCTACCTATTGGACAAACTAAAATCGTTCCGGACCACGGGAGTTTCCGGACCACAGAATGCCGGACTAGAGAGGTAAAACCTGTACTTGATTCTGTTATCATTAAGCTTTAGCAGACTAATAATAATAACAGTTTAATATCCAGTCATTATAAACAATCTTTCATAAATTTCAATTACATTATTATACAGTATTAGCAGCCATCAATGAGAGTGGTGAGCATACTTGAGTATTTCCATGAGGTAGTGAATGAAGTCACCCTGGCCAAGCAGCAGGTAACGTCGCAGAGCTCTAAGGTGATCCAGTAACTTGTGTCTGGTGAGAATCTCCTCCAGTACATGACGAGACGTTTCTCTAAATGTTAACCCTACGAGCTGGTCCAGCTGACTGTTCTCATCTTGTGTGAACAGTGACTCCACTGCCAAGGAAAAAAGATCATCTCTACATAATTAACATCTATTCCCTACATCTGGGATTTTATCTACCATAAACCATCTTGTTCCATCTTCTTCATGCAAACTGCAGCTATGATCATTCTTTCACCTTTATGTTTTAGCCTGCCTGCATAAAATATAGTTGTCATACATAATTGGTAACCTTTTATTATTTTGTCAATGATCAAGTTATACAGTACAGTAATTGCTTTTAGTATTAGACATGCTCTGTACTGTACTTTAAATAAATATCTCTATGAATACAAAATATTAATATTCACTCGCTCCGAAAAGTATCTTTACAAGTTTGTGTGAGAGAATATGTCACAACGGACAAAGGATTTTGACAACCCTACCGGAGGTCACTCTGAAATTTACTGGACTCCTCTGTAAAGAAGCTTTTTGAAACAAGTGTACATCAAAATTTAAGAATAGTGTATAGATATCACTCACTTCAGCAGTAAAAACTCTTAACAAATTAGTCCATACCACTATATAGTATCTCTCTTCTTACTGAAATTAGTTTTTTATTTTTAGATACTCTACCATTCCAAAAATACACAAAAATTTTCAACACACACACACACACACACATTGATCTCACTTTTGAAAGCCCTTCCCAGCTATGTGTCTCACTGTCTACTAGTTGTAACATATGTGTTCTACTATGGTGTTCCCTTCTTCAGCAAAGCCACAAGACTTCCACACTTCATTCACACCAGTATCAGCCATTCCTATCCCTACCCCTAAACTTACTGACCTGTGGTCTGTTGTAGTGAAGTCTTTATAGCATCCCGGCCCGCTATTGCTGCCCGAAAGTGACACACATTGCGAAGGAAATTGAGGGATTTGCCAGATGCTAACACTTTTTTCGCCTGAGATTTGTTTATGAATGTTGGTAGCATGCACCATCTGAGAAAAATAGCAAATAAACAGTGACTACAATGTAGTTATCAGCTATAAGGTCCTAATATGGTAGGAGTGAATATCTCTGTGAAGGATACAACACATCAACACTGGAACTAGCCTAACTTGACCCCAAGATCAAATCTATACAAGCCATCTCCTGTACAGCTGGGGAAGATGAAAGTTATAAACAGTCAGAAAAATCTCTACCAAAAAATAAATTTCTTCCTCCTTTTATTTTATAAGTACAATTCATAATCATAATCTTGAGAAAAAAATAAAAACTGAAATATTTCAAACAACGTTAAGTGTTTTCAAAATAAAAAAAAATTTTATCGGTGAAGAGTTTCAAAGTAATTCACATTAGGATGAGAATTTCCAGACAGACTGATAAGAAAGGCACACAGTATGGTAGAGTAAGCCATACCTTATAGAGTACTTGTCCTGCCACAGTTTATCATCTGGCACAGTGGGGTCTGATGCAATAAAGAATTCATGATGAGGGTCCTCCAGTGTACCATCTAGGAGCCACTGAGTGAGCATAACATAAATAGGTGTGCAGGCCAGGGTGAGAACGTGATGGACAACGGCCTTATGACCTGGGTTACCATGGTGCATGTGCTGTTGGTGGTCAAAGAAATATTTATCAGCTGTGTTAGATCAAAACAATAAAATATTCAATCAAGACTTCTGGCAAAGTTTTATACTAAAGCTGTAAGAAGCAGCACTACCCTCCCCCCCTTTTTTTCAGGACATACAGGGTAATTTCACTCATAGCTTTCTCAATAACCATGAACCAGGGCAGGTCATTTATATATTTCCTTATGTAATCTTTCTCATCAAGAAATTGCATAATAAATTTATCATACAGTTATTCAGAAGTTCTCACACATAACTCAGCTGGTGGTACACTGAACTACAGTACTTACTTAAGAAACACTGGTTCAATCCTGTGGCCATGTAGGGTTAGTAGCATTATTTGTTGTGGTGTGTGTGTGTGTGTGTGTGTGGGCTGAGCTGCTACTCACCATATAAAGACTCAGGGTTTAACTAACTCTTCTCACCTTGGGATTGCCATCCAACAACTTTGAGAAACAGCATAAGGGATGTTAACTTTTGATAGAATGCAGGATTATTTAACGAGGTAGCCAGGCAGAAATTATGAAAAATGGCCAATTATTTGCATTTGTTGTTTTAATCCTAGTCATTTCTTATGTTTTTTTGCACTACTGTCTTCTGGAATTTTTCCCAAATCTTTGAGGTTTCTCAACCCTCTGATTTACTCGACACAAAAGTGGGAGAGGAACCAAAATAAGATAAAATAATAATCTTAAGATTGCAATTCTACTATTTGCACATAATTGGAATACTACAAAAGAGTAGGAGTAGATTCTTTAAAATGTTATCATCTATTTGCATATCCTTTCTTTAACAATGTACAATCAAAGACAAAAGTCATGTCGCGGTTTTGTCTGAAGATTAAATATAACTCGTGAAGCATTATGAGCCCCCTACCACAAGGTAGAGTGCACCAAAAGTTTAGCCCTTCGGCATATGTTTTCACCAAATTTCACAACACGGCTTTTGTCTTTCATTGTACAAGCACAAAGCAACTGAATCATCTGTAAAACAGCTAAAGAAAAAATTCTTGGGGAAAAGATCTTAGTTTATTCATATGTTAATGCCTTTAAAAGTTAGTTGTGTGGCTATAAAAGTGTGCTCTATGCCTTCTTCCTTACCATGGTATCATCTTCTATCTTTTGGATTTGAGAGATAGACTCACCAAGGAAATTCAAGAGTATTCTTTTTATTTCTTTAACCTTTCACATCACTAAGTAGCTTCATGTAAATAAAACACAGGCACCAGTTTCTTTGCTCACAGGTTAATTTGGCTAATAGTTGTAACAAAGTTACAAAGAATCTAGGAAAATCTGACCTGATATATCTGAGACACACACGCCCCACCGTACACTTCCCGGGCAGCGTGTGTCAAGAGGGCAAGAGCCCGCAATCGTGCACGGGGCTCCAACGTCCACATCACTAAGCGGCGTAGAGTAAGACCCCCTGAAAGTTCTCCCATTGGTGTGTCTCCTCCTTCTTGAATCTGTCAATTAAAGAAAGACACAATACTGTAGTTAAGAAACCTTAGGAATGTGGTCCATGAAATATACCTGTATGTCATATTTAAAATGTATTATACAAATACATGTACACATATATAGTGAAAAAATACTCACCTGAGCCTCCAATAAGGCTATTAGTCTGCAGTACTCGCTGAGCTCCTCCCTCAAGGCCAACACCAGGGACTGGTTGACAAGTCCTGCTGCCGTCCTGTCAGTACTGCGCTCATTCCCCGCTATACTTCCACCCCACTCACAAAAATGTTGTACTTTGTTGTATAACCAACCTACATCCGATAGCTTGAGAATTACTTCCTTCTGGCTCTGTGATAAGCGAACCTATAATAGAAAGGAAGGCATAGTAATTTACATTTCCTCCTATCAAAATAATACTGAAATTGGAATAGACTATACAGCAATACCATAATTCCTCTTTGTGAACAGAATAGCTTGTATACAAAGTTTTTTAGTAGAGAACTGAAATGGTTTTTATTTTGTGCTTTAGTAATAAAATTAGGATAGGTGGAGAGACACAGGAACAAACAGACTCTTGTAACTCCTCTGCAAATTTCACAGAGCAGAGATTGTTTAACAAATTGAAATTATACTTGAGCTATCATTGGACTAGCTGACTGTCTAGAAAATGACTAAGGCTTGATAAGGTATGGTTAGGGTTCATCAATTAATGTATGAACTTTAGCTGTACAGAACTTTCACCTGCAATAACTACCAGTAATTGTCTTCAAATGAACATACAGCATCAAGATTACAGTTAAACTTCTATTTAATGAACTACGTGGAGAGGAAAGTCTATTATATCGAGGATCCTTTAGATGTGAAACCCCCAGGTAACAGATTAAGTATATGGCAAGAGTAGTCCAGTAATATGGAGGCATCACTGTACATCACTGTAAATTCTTTCAGTTGAGGGAAGATGAAAACAAAATTCATACTAACTTTTGGGTCTAATCTGTATCCATCTTTATTTGCATCCGCTCTGATAATTTTTCCTTCAATCCCTTGGAAGATGAAGAGCACCTCTCTAATCAACACCTTTTCAGTCACTTCCAATAAGTGCTGCAAATCAAGAAACACATCACTCAATACAATTCCAGAGCAAACAAGAACTTTAACCATGCGTACAATACCAAGATCATTAACAACACACCTCTCTCTCTCTCTCTTTCCCACAACTGGAACAGAGTTGGTCAGATCCAAAGGCTTTCCCATCATACATCAATGAGGATTATCTATTTTTCATCTAAATCATGATAACCGAACCAACCAAACTTCTTTACCACACTGTTCTACAATTTACTACTTTAAGTTACGTTTATTTATTGAGTTAAGAAGCATCTTACAGGTCATCCATTACTTCACAGCCTGTAAAGCCTTGACAAAATAATCCTGTACCCTGCATCAGCAATGCAGGTTAGGGTGTACTGAGAGTGACTAAACGTACATACAGGGTAAAGCGAGTCAAGATTGTCGTACCTTCTTTAGATGGAGTATTTTTATGAAAGTTTTGGGAAAGTTTTAACCTTTCAACTGTTGGTAAATGATGCTGAAGTTCTGCAAATGGTGAATCTGGATTTTTATTCGCTGCCGCTGGAAGAGATCAAACAACAAGCACATTTAAGGAACTTCAGCTATTATATATCTTCTCATTCTTCCACATTTCTATCTTGGTCAACTAATGGATTTTCTTGTTTTAATAAGTTTCCAGTGATCTAAACAAAAGTTATCCATCTACAAATGAAATATAAATTTTTGTGGGATAGAATAAACACAAAATATTAAATCTTTTATATAAATCTCACTTGTATGTTGGCATATACCCTGTAGATACCAGTATATCAGAGGCAAAGTATATTTGTACTGTAATCTAATTATGCTTGATTTACATCAATAACAAATCATCATATTTACTTTGTACCTTTATACATTTCAGCTAGACGAGACACCCTATTACTACCGGAGCTGTGGGGTGACACAGTCTCCCTTGATCCAGGGACGATACAACTTGGTGGAGCACCGCCAAACATTCTCTGAAGGGATGTTTTGGTGTAGTTTAGGCATGGGGAACATCTCCTCACCTCCATGCCCATTACAAAGACCATTCTCATGCTGTTGAAAATAAGTTATTATCTATTTCTTATTATGACATTATGGACACAACAGATTAATTAACTTTAATCACACACAAAACCACTGCTGTAGGAGAAATAATCACTTTTTAATTTAAATATATCTATATAGTATAGTAACTGTAATGTCATTATTTAATAATATTAATTATTCTGTACTTTATATCATCAGCTAATTAACTGATTGCAATACCACATCACGGTACTGTATGTGACTGCACATACTGTATGTGTGTGTACACATTTTTTGAGAACACAGGTTCATACTTCATTTTGTCCCCCATTATTTCTAACCCACATAACAGATGTGCTCTTGTAATGTGTTCCCTTTCTACAACAAGACCCTAAACTTTCCCCTACTGTTTCATACATCCCAGTTTCACACACAGTATACACACACATAACTATACTTGCACCTAACGGGAGAAAATATTATGTCCCTTTTCTATACAATGTTATTTTTAGGTACTTACTGGTGCTTGGATAGTTGATGACTGGGTACCAATGCGAATACCGCTGTGTGAGGCATTATCTTGACTCAATGCCAAGAAAAAAGAAAGAATACTGGTCTTGTTCACTTCAGCACAGCCTGTGTAAACCAGATACAAACATTTAGAACAAGTCAAAGTAAATTTAAAACAGAGGACTTAATACTTGCTTGCACTGTCGTCCTATCTCTCCCTTGTGCAATCAGGGATTTATATTCTAAGTACAGTATGTAATAAATACCAATAAAACAATCTAACAATCATCTGAAGTAAATGACAGCTTAAAAGATGAAAATACCTCAAATTAAAACAATATTCTAAAATATCTTTAGCTAAATATATATATATATATATATATATATATATATATATATATATATATATATATATATATATATATATATATATATATATATATATATATATATATATATATATATATATATATATATATATATATATATATATATATGAACTCCGTCTCACCGATTTTAGAAGTTTGTTCATCAAGCCAGAGAAGCGGGCGGCATCCTCTAATCGCTTCTCTCGTTACCCAGTCGTCGCTTTATCTTGTCTGCTACAACATTATGGTCTTTCACTGGAAGACCTGAGGGGCCCTCATTCAACAGACCCACAGCCAGTTGAAAATGTGTCACCAACCGCTCTGTCAGATGGATATACAGCAACCAAGTAAATTATGAACACGTGATAATGCATAAAAAAAAATTATCAAAAATTTACCCAACTATGATATGCGCAACTCTGTCCTATGCAAACATGTGATACAGTGGACCCTATGTATTAATCACAAGTAACTAAGAGGGTACAGGTAACACAGTTCAAAACAGTGTAGCATCTTATAGTACTGTACTGTATAAGGTCACATCAGTAATGGCTGAACTAATATCAGTAACTAACAGGTCATCACCCAGCCCTCAGTAAACTTAACCCCTGTATCTCACACCCAACACACGTGAAAATGGAGCTCTGTAAATCACCTCTAACATTCTCTCATAAATAGACAGTTGCTATTATCGGTTAGTTCATTATTGCCAACCATAAAGCGTGCTATATTTTGATGAAGAAATAGAAAAGCCAAATAGTGTTTGTGTGAACATTAACTACTATTAAACAAATACAAACTACAAGAGTTAGAAGGTACCAGTTAGAAGCGGCAACAACCAGTAAACAGGCGGCAGTGGTGAAGATTGAACGTATAAACCGGCTAGTACAGTCAACCGTGATCCAACCAAAATAATCTGCCGACACCACAAACAGCGGGCTAACACAACATATATCTTATCTTCCCTGACTTAACAGAAATTAACCGTACTAATTCAGATTACATTTGATTTGGTTAGGTTAGGTTAATTCAGCGTAAGATTTCAGATTCGGCCATCCCTGTATTTAGATATCCAAAACTACCTAACCTAATCTAGCCACAGAACCCAGGAACTATATCTAACCTAACCTAAATTCCTATGATTCCCAGGATGACCAAAACTAAATTAATACCTCAGTTCAGTTCATTTCTAGAATAATAAACTATATAATGCAACAATATCTGGCATTATTCTCCTGGGGTCCTTGATAGAGGTTAAAGCCCTGGATGGAGGGAGGAGCCTGACACACTACCCACTTAACCATGATGAGGAACCAATGGGACCCTACCACTGTACTGGACCACAATGGAGATTACCTTTCAATTGCTCTCTTGGGCTACCCTTAATTACACTGATATACTGTTGACTGGTGTTTGTATATCTGTACTGTCTGGGAATTTGTATGATGACTTGTACTGAATATTTAACCATCTGCCCACAGGTGTTGGTCAACCGTCGCCCACACACCCTGCCACCTATATCACTTTCTGCTTTATCTTAGTCCTCTGTTACACTCCAGGTCTGTGATAATGACGTCCACAAGGGTATAACTGTTACGGGGAATAATCCTTTATCTCCTGTTGTTGTTAGCCCTCATCCCCCACTGGCAGGACCAGACGGTAATTTAATGTGGTCCAGCTCACCGTCGTTAATCCCTGTGACGTGAGAACACAGCCTCTTGAGGAGCGTGTTTGATGCGTCCATCATTCCTGCTGTTGATGAAGAAATTACCCAAATAAACGACAAATCCTGACATCAAACTGCGTGTATCGACCACCTCCTTGATTCTCATGGCGCCATTTATTTTCGTTTTGTTTTCATGTGAGCGGGAGGCTGCCATTGGCTGGCTGCTGTACGTGCAGCCAATGGCAGCCCAGCTTGTTGGTCACCTTGTTTTGGTCAGAGAGCATCTGATGTTTATACACCAGGTGACATATTGTTGATTAATTCTCGGATATTTTTCATATTTTCAGCAACCTATTTTAACATAATAAATCAATAAATCTCTGTAAATATTTTCAAAAGGTATAATCAACTGTACTGATATTTACGGGTTCGCTGAAACCCAGAACATAATGAAATATTAACCAGCATTACTCAGTTATCACAATAATACCCATTTGCTGTGTGCTGCATGTATCTTTCATTATATTTGTTATTAAGTTGTCCTTATTCCTTTGTTGATGAGGAGGGGCATAAGTTTAAGCACTCATTGTGAGAAGAAGGTAAATCAGGCAAATAAATTATTGGGTCTTATAAGAAGGTCGTTCAGATATCTAGACGGTCCGTCCCTCGTGACGATCTTCAGGAGTGAGGTGCTTCCCCATCTGGAGTACTGTCACCCCATCTGGTCCCAGATATGCTGGGGACTGTCAGTTGGTTGAAAATGTTCAAGGAGGGCCACCAGACTGGTGCCTGCACTTCGGCACCTCAGCTACCCTGAGAGATTGGAGCGCCTGAACTTGCCTAGCTTATACTACAGACGGGCAAGTGGGGGACCTAGTTGAGGTGTATAAGCATCTCAGGGGCACTACTCAGTTGAGTGTCTTACTTGAGCTGGCGGACGCTCGCACAAGGGGTCTGGCTCAAGATTGAAGGAGCTGCAAGTCCGGAAAACCGTGAGGGCAAACTTTTTCGGAGTGAGGGTTGTAAACTCTTGGAACAATCACCAGAGAGTGTGGTGACGGCACCGAGTGTGAGCTCTTTCAAGACAAGACTTGACCAACACTGGAGCGGGTTCAGGTACATTCAGGAGCCGGTGCATGCTCAGTATTTGCCAACAGTGCGTGACAGACTGACCGATCGCCCGGGCGGCTAGCGAGCCGACCTTTTGGTGAAGAATATAAAGGAAAAGAGACGTGACCGATCGCCCAAGCGGCTAACAAGCCGATCAGTGGCGAAGAGGATAAAAGTAAAAAGTAATACCTGTACTATGGTAGGAGTACAGCATCAAGTCACCAAGGATTATAATACTGTTTATAGTCCTTGGGAGCAACAGTCCTTAGAAGGCGCTCAGCTAACCCTTTGTGGGGGTGAGACTAACCTTGAGATTTTCTTTTATCCCAATTCCCACCAAAAATAATGGGTTTTCCCTTAATCATTCCCTCTCATTTCCTTCTGTCTTTTCCTTCCAACTAATACCTTCTTTTTATCGAATATCTTTCTTCTTTTCCTTTCCTTTTTAGTTTCCCTTTCTATATATTCTTCCTTACCTTAAATTTCTTCTCCTATTTTTCTTCTTTACCCAGTTCTCTTTCCTCATTTCTTTCCCATTTTCCCTTCCTTCTCTTCTCCTTCCTCCTCTCTCCTCTTTTCTCACTCCTTGCTCTTCCCTTTCTCTTCACCATTGGTTATTGTCACTGTAGTGGTACCATTACACCTGGTACAGTGGTTAGCAGGAATTACTTCGAGAGAAATGACGCCATTATGTTTGTTGAAGTCATGGTGTATTGTGGTGAATGGGCAGAAGCAAACCTCTTTATAATGGCAAGATAGTGGTGTAGAGAAAGGCTTTATCCTCTATATAAGAACATTGGTGCTTCTTCTATGGCTTCAGGTTAGGTTACCAAATATAACATACCTATCTTTAGACTCTATCCAAACCCCCAGCCTCTATCCTAGCCCCAGCCTCTATCCTAGCCCCAGCCTCTATCCTAGCCCCAGCCTCTATCCTAACCCTAGCCTCAATCCTAACCCCTAGCCTCTATGCCAAGTAGCCAACCCCTTATGGGATATTTAATATAACAAATATCTTCTAATCATTGGGTACAAGCTTATCCAATCACTAGTTTACTGTGTGTGTGTGTTTAACCTTGACATAAGCTTTATTTTGTCTCTCCTCCACTTCCTCCTCCCTTCTTCTCTTCCTCCTTCTCTCTCTCTCTCTCCCCTTCTTCTCTCCCTCCCTCCCCTTTCCCTTTTCCTCCTACCTTCCATTTCCCCCCTCATCTCCCTCACCTCCTCTCACCCCCCCTCCTCTCACCCCCTTGAGCACTATAGGTTACCTGCTTCAGTAAAGAGATCCGATCTTTTTCGGGCGGGTATCAGATTTCCATAAATTCCAGCAGGACCTTTTTTTTCCCCCTTCCCGTACAACCCCTCTGGAAGACTGGAAGGCCCGGACACACCTGCGTATTATCTCTCCCTCGGGGGCATGGAGAGGAGCTGATACATATACGCATTGTTAGCCAGGGAGATGCGTACGTCCAATCAGGGTAATGGATTGGGTTGAGGGAGAACAGCGATTGGACTGAGAGAGTTCCAGTCTTAGTACATCACCAATATGTGTTTTTGTTTTTGTTTTTTTCTGTAGTTTTAGCGCCATAATGTCATCAAGGTTTCATAACATGATTGAGAAGGTTTATAAAGACAGGATAGAAAAATGTTTGGATTTGACCCGCTGAAAGGTTGATAGTGAGTAGATATAAGTGAAACGACAGCTGCAATAAATGTACCTCGATGACGTTGATCATTTCCAGAATACATTTTGCTAGTTTTATATTAGATGGTTTTATTGTTTAAACCCGAGACCATTAAACTTTTTGATGGGTTTATGAAAGAATTAATTGATGTTAAATTTCGGGGAAGGTTTAGTGTTTTAATGGGTTTGTAATAGTTTTTTCTTCTTTAAAATCAATTCGGGGATTTTTAAAACCTTTTGATAGTTTTAAAAGTGATCGTCTTCCTCTTAAACCTGAAGACGTTAAATCTTTTACTGGTTTGAACAGAAAAGACCTTCTGCCTGTTTAACCTCGGGACCATCTGAAATCTTTTACTTGTTAAAAAAAAAGATTCTCTCTCGGTTACTATAAACTTGGAAGTATTAAACCTTTTATTAATGGCGATAAAACAAAAACATGTTTCTGTTAAGACGTGAGGAAGGACATCTTATTTCGGCGGATCTGAAGGAAAAAAAGATCCCCCAGCATAAAACATACCAGACACATCATAAATTTGGTAGTGGTTTTAAAAAGATCTCCTTCTTGTCTAAACGTGGACACATCTTAAATCTTTTACTGGTTTTTAAAAAAAAAATCCTCTTCTTGTTGAAACTCGGGGACAGACGTCTTACTCTGTCAGACCCTCCTCGTGAATTTTCAGACGGAGGACCCGACGTCAGGTGCATCTTAAGGCCCTCCTCCTCCCCGGCAGGTTCCTCGAGATTCATGGGCCTCTGCATCGACCAGGGTTGCTGGAGTCGGCCCCCTGGAAGGAAAGTATTCGACAGTCGAGCGCTCTGTCCAGGCTTTGCCAGGTTTTCCAATATCCTGAAATGGTTCTTGGAATGACGTCCTGACGAAGAGACGGACGATGTTTTATATAGCAGTCGTTTGTAGTTCTCTGAGGACTTCAATAAGAGGTGGAGGCTGTGCAGGTCTCTCCCGACGACCTGCCCTGTCAGGACTTGATAAAGAATTACCTTCCTCAAATTCAACTGTATATTTTCCTGACTCCCGGTTTATGTAAAGATTATAAATACAATTACAGCGAAAACAAAATAAAGCTTTTCCCTCCATAAAATACCAAGGGCACATTTTTTTTTGAAGACTTCCAATGGGCCAAGTCATAAGAGGCGCCTCCCTTACCTAACCTAACCATTAGGACTGGAGCCAACTCTAGACGAGTCCTCATCCTAATGATTAAATTACAATCGGTTGTCTGAGGACTATTACACCCCATTGCCTATTAGGACTAAAGCCAATTTGACCTACAGCCTATTTCTTTTTATTTCCGCTAGAATACAAAAGACACACACACATCTTATATTTGTGTGTGTGTGTGTGTGTGTGTGTGTGTGAATAATAATAATAGTAATAATAATAATAATAGTAATAATAATAATAATAATAATAATAATAATAATAATAATAATAATAATAATAATAATAATAATAATAATAATAATAATAATAATAATAATAATAATAATAATAATAATAATAATAATAATAATAATAATAATGATAATAATAATAATAATAATAATAATAATAATAATAATAATAATAATAATAATAATAATAATAAACGGTTTATTAATAGAGTTGCAGCCGGCGGCTGAAAATATACAGACTTACATTTGATTTAGACATAATGATATAATATGCATTGAATACATTTACATGTGTGTGTGTGTGTGTGTGTGTCCTTAGATTAAGGAGTCTACCAGTCTGATGCGTTCCCCCTTAACTCTCTCTCTCTCTCTCTCTCTCTCTCTCTCTCTCTCTCTCTCTCTGTATATATGTGTTGTGTATAAAGGGAAGAAAAGATAGAGAGAGAAGAGACAAAAACCTCACCCTCTCAATTTTTCAATCTCAACTTTAGAACTTTTTCTTGTTTTAAACCTCATTATCCAAGTAATCAAATTTATGGGCAAATTTTGAGATAAGTTGAGACAAGACGCTAAGCCATCCTCGCCCTTAAATTAGACCCGGATTAATGGGAAGGTGAGGCCAAATGAACCCCCAACCACCACAAACTTCTGATGAGTTTTGTTGTTATGTGGATGACGTGTGGATGACGACCCGGAAGATAATGTGGATGACGATGAGGAAGATGATGTGGGTGAGTATAAGTGGATTATAATATGGATGATGGAGGTGGAAGGGTGGATGATTGAGGTGGATGGGTGGATGATTGAGGTGGATGGGTGGATGATTGCGGTGGATGGGTGGATGATTAAAGTGGTTGGGTGGATGATGAGATGGAAGTATGTGGAAGAGTTTGATATAAGGTATTCGTCATTAAAAAAAAACCACTCATTATCATATCAGGGAGAGTGTTTATGGGAGTGACACGAGGTAACTCACAGTGAATGAGTGACTCCCAGGTCCCTCACAGATGGATGAGTAACTCCC